AAAAAAAAAAAAAGAAAAGAAAAGTGTCAAACGGGATCCTAACTTGCTCTGTAGACTGTCACTAAAAAAGTCAATAAAGTATTTAAAAACAAAGAAAGGAAACTGAGTGATAGATAGATGAATGAGGATCTTGCAAATTTCCATTTAAATATTTCATTAGCGCCTAGGTGTGCATCCTATTAACTGCCTTCGTTTATAAAAAGGTTTTGGCACATCGTATTCTCTCTCTCTCTATATATATATATATATATATATATTTTTTTAACTATTTATCTTACATCTCTTCGAGTATAATGTATGAGAGAAAAGAGGTAATTACATATTCCACCAAATTCACAACTAATTCCTACCCTTCTGTGATAGTTACATAATTGCGTGTCAAGTTGATATATGGAATGTAAGGGTGGAGTCTAGCCTGTGGATCAGGTCACAGCCTGCTGGTACCTCCTTGTGGGTGTGGCCTTCTAATAAGGGGGGTCCCAGGAACCTCCCCCCTGCTCCCTCTGCTTTCATCTTCCTGCTGGAGAGCCACACTGAGACTTACAAGCCCTGTGATGCAGCCATCGCCAGTGGATCCACAAGACTTCACACCCATGTGCCCGTGATCTTCCTACATTCTGTATTGTTGCATGTGGTTGTGTGAGTCTGAAGAGGGACTTAAGGACTAGTGTCAGACTTATGGACTAGTATCGAACTTCTGGACTTGATCTGGACTGGCTGAGATATTTGTTTGATACATAATTACTTCCTGATATAAAGCTCTCTCTTATACATATATATGAGTTTCACTGGATTTGTTTCTGTAGTCAACCCAGCCTAACACAGTGCCCAACTAGTCACCCAAAGGGTTTCCTCTACCCACCAATTAGAAGATACCCACTCTTCTTGGAGACCTGCTAATGAGAATCTCTGGGCATATGCGTTCCTCCGTCATCACCCTGCGCCCACTTCCCCAAAGGGCCTTTGTGTTCCCTACCTGATTGGAAGGTGATCTCACTGAACATCATCCAAGTGTCAGCAAAATGGTACTGGCATTTGATGGCACTGGCCATGCGGTGGTGGAGGGGCACTGTGACAAATCGAGCACTGGGGTTGACGTCATCCAAGACAAGAGGGAAGGAGATAGCATTAGGTTCCCATTCATTGGCTTCAGAGCGGAAGTAGCACTGTACCTCCTTAAAGATCTTCACACCTTTCGCAAACATATTGTTGCAGTGGACCTGGCAGGAAAAGAGGTATGTGAGTTACCAGTTAATCTTATCAAGTGCCATGTGGACTTAATGCTGGCTTACCTAGTAGATCCTGAACTTGCATATTGCTCTGAGCAGCATCCTTAGAGAAGAGTTGGTGCTCTGGAATCTTCTGGACTTACCCCTCCAAGGGATTTTACAGTGGCAATGATGTGTTGTTACCAAGCCACCCATCACTTCCATGAAACTGTTTTCCCCTGGCCATCACACTTCACAATGTAGGACTGTAGTTTGTCTATCTGTTAAATGAGGGCTGGATCAACACCCAGTCTTCCCTTGCCCTTCACACTCTGAGTCTAGCATCCTCTCAATCATTGAAATTGAGCTGTCTTGAACTAAAAGGAAGATGGTTATGGAACTTCCTTCTCAGAGCAAGTTCCTTCTCAGAACTGCCAATGCCAGTTCACTCTTTCTCAACGAGTCTACTTTAGAAACCTGACATCATAATATTGTTGTTGTTTACTATCGTTGACACCATTCACTGGAATAAAACACTATCAACCCCATGTTGACCTGGATTCATTGCGCTTTCACAAGCCATTGTGATGCACAGTGTTTCCACTGTCTGATTTTTGGAAGTAGATCTCCTTTCTCCTTACCCCATCTAAGTTTTAAATCTCTTCTGAAATGTGTTCAACATGATAATGGCACGCAAGACATTAAAATATCATCCACTGACATAGGCAGAAGCTACACATGAGGTGCATTGGTCAGGAATAGGTTAGCTAGCATAATTTCTCCTTTTCTTTTTTTCTTCATGATCTCATGTCTTAATATTTATTCAGTGGTACAAAACTTCATTATTTTACAATTACATTTGGATAAGGCCATATGATGGGGGTATCCAATCTCCTTCATTAGTACTTTATGACCCACAGAAGAAGATCTATGGAGATTAGGGGGTTTGGGTGATTGCCTAGCCTATTGCCACAGGTACTTTGTGGCTTTTAGGGTACAGGTGTGGCTTTTAGGGGTCATCTGCTAAAAATATTTCACAGTATTTTTTTCTGTTACTCCTCACTGTGGTCAACAGCCTTCAACAAGTGAAATGTTCAAATTTGTAACTAACAACTTTCTGTGGAAGTTCAGCAACTCGTTCTCTGGGTCAGGCCTATGTGGAAAGTTCAGCGTTGTTGGCCACTAGCACACCACCCACAACAACAACTTTCCTGAATATAAAGACTTCACAGGCTGGAAAAGCACTGTTCTCTCTCTCTCTAGGGCAGTGGTTCTCGACCTTCCTAATGCTGCGACCCTTTAAAACAGTTCCTCATCTGTGGTGACCCCCCAACTATAACATTATTTTTGTTGCTACTTCATAACTGCAATTTTGCTACTGTTATGAATAGAGCAACCCCTGTGAAAGGGTCATTCAACCCCCAAAAGGGTCACATCCCACAGGTTGAGAATCGCTGCTCTAGGTATATAGTTCTTGATTTTGCTTTGCTGTTTTGTTTAAGCCTTTGAATTGCAACTTTAACAGTTTTCAGTACTCCTAGTCAGGTTTTGGGTTGTTGATATGGAAATGCTGTTCAGAATTGATTTTTCAGCTGAAGGAGAAAGTAGCGTGTGTAGAATTTTAATGATTAGAGAAACAGGCCAAGGATATCCTTCAAAATAGGGTTCATAGAATATTAAATCTAGTGGAAACCTTTAAAATCATCTAGTTCAGTGTTTCCCAAAATGGAAACCCAAGGGGTGTGATAGAGGATCTAGGGGCACTGCAAAAGCAGATGCCTACACTTGATCTTGGATGGGGGGAATATTGAGTAGTTTTATTTTATTCTTTTTCTAAAAGGGGCGCAGTAGGCAAAATAAATTTGGGAATCTATGACCTAGTGTAAACTATTCATACTAATGAGACAATGGGAGCTCAGAGAAGCTGTGATTTCCTCCTGGTCAGTCAACAGCAGGACTGGGTTCAGATCCATAGACTCCTAGTCCAGTGCTCTTTCCGCATAGCATGACCCAGAGGAATGGAGAAAATGTATCTAACTTTTCTGTTTGAATTTCTCCAAAATGTTTTAATGATGAAAACATGTGTTAATCCCTTTCTTGGGATGAATTAACTGTTCCAGTTTATTGAACACAAGTCAATGGAACAGGATTCAAAAAAAATCAAAGAAATACCATCTACAACTTTAACAGATTTTTCAGATGTTTGAAAATCTGCAAAGTGTTGGATAAGTGGCCTGTGGGGAAGGTAATAATCTTTCCCACAGATGTTTTGGGAATTCTCTTGGAATGCAAATAAATAGTATAGGATTTCATTCCCATGTGGACCTACATATTTATTTAATGAATACAATATATTTTTAAATGCATTAGTAGATTTTCATGTTACATTTTAACTTTTCTTTAAGAAAATTTTGGCAGTGAATTACCTAGAGGCAAAAATAAATCTTGGGAGACATCTTTTACTTTTTATTTATCTCAGAAAAAAATTAAAATATGCCGAGGACTTGTTTGGCCTTGAAAGCAAAGGACTCCAGTCAGTTCCTTAAAAGTTTCTGGCACCTTATATTGCAGAACAATGCTTTGAATGATTTTGACCTGGAATAAGCTGGTTAAAAAGAAGTTTCTGGGAACTGCTGGGAACTCAGAAAGACCAAAGCTGATTAATGAATGATTTTAATTTCATTGTTCTTGTTTTCAGGTGTCACATGAGCTAGCAGTCCCACAGCCAGACACTCATGCCAGGAAGCAGGAAGCAAAGAGCCACAAGAAAGAGAGACGTTCTTGATGAAACATACCACTTTCCTCTAGTTCCTAAATGCTTCCTCCTCCCTCACTATTATGATCCCAATTCCACCTTGCAAGTCTGGCTAGACCAGAGGATGTACACTGGTATAGATAGGAACCAGAAACACAGGGAATCCAAGGCGAATGATCCCTTCAGCACCAGTGGTGTGAGTGGCAATACTGGGAGGGTAGAGGGAGGGGTTGGAAATGGGGGACCGATCACAAGGATCTACATGTGACCTCCTCCCTTGGGGAAGGACAACAGAAAAGTGGGTGAAGGGAGACATCGGACAGGGCAAGATATGACAACATAATAATATATAAATTATTAAGGGCTCATGAGGGAGTGGGGAGCGGGGAGAGAGGGGAAAAATGAGGAGCTGATGCCAGGGGCTTAGGTGGAGAGCAAATGTTTTGAGAATGATGAGGGCAATGAATGTACAAATGTGCTTTACACAATTGATGTATGTATGGATTGTGATAAGAGTTGTATGAGCCCCTAATAAAGTGATATTTTTTAAAAAAAGAAAGAGAGAAGTTCTCACTGCAATTCGTATAAAAGGCCACAACCATAAGGAGGTATCAACAGATCTAATGGGCAGGTTGGACTCCACCCCTACCTCCACCCAGCTCTAGCTATCAAAGCTAAAAAAACAATAATAATCCAATTGTATAGTTGTATTGGTTTTTAAAACGTAACCATATTCATTGACCCTAAAAGTCAAGGAGACACTGTGGCTACTGTGTCTAAAGCCTAAGTCAACATTGGTGCTGCAATACACTGACAGCCAATGGCTTCATCTAATCCTTTCATCAAAAAATGAAGAAAACAGCCCAGAGAGATAAGTGACTTGCACAATGCATCCAAGTAGGTAGTGGCTGAATATGCTTCTGAATCCAGGACAAGTGGTGTTGGCCCAGATTCTTTCTAACCAGGCTTTCTCTACCAGCTATGATTTTGGCCTCCCTGCAGAAATCCTGCTGCACCTGAGACCACTGACCTTCATGGTAGTGAAATTCCTGATGCGATCAAATTCAAACATGATCTCAATGTAGCCATTGGTGGTGCTCTCATTCCGCCAACCCACGTAGTCATAGCCAGGCCACACATGGTATTCATGGGTCTGGGTGAAGTCATCCAGGCCAGACACCCCATCTGTCAACTGGCCCAGCCCTTCCGTCATGCTGCTCAGGCCAGAAAGAGAGAAGGAAACGGAAGAGAGGAACCTGGAGTTAATCACACATTCACGAAGAGCTTTGGCTCAGCTTCTTCACCCTGATGTTATGAGAGCTGAACTTGGAGTTTAAATGATTATGAAACTTCATATGTGCTTTGCAATATGGACTCGTTTTTCCTGTATCACTGGAGGAAAAATCTCACAAAAACAAATTTTATAAAATATGTAATTGATGCCTACCCCTTAAATAGTAAATCTCTTAAATAATTCTTATTATATTTTTAAAAGCTTTCCATAATCCACTGTATCCTTGACTATTCTTGACTATCCTTGACTGAATGTAACAAAATCTTTATATGATATAATTGATAAATCAAGGCATCAACAAGGGAATTAATTATGGAATAAGCAATATATTATATAGCAGCATTTGTCACATCACTAAAAAAACAAAAATGGTCCCAGATCATATTAGGAATTTTTCTCACTCTCTTTGACTCTGTGTTATCATTGTTTATTTAATCCACTTCAGAGAATCCATAATCTATCTCTATCCAACATCTCCTACCCAATACATCAAACAAAAAGTATATAGGTGTATATATCTATATTCTTATTGTCAACATTTAAATTCTAACTTATATATAATTTTAATTAAACTTGTAGAATGTTAGTCTGATAGTGTAAAATTCATGGGTTTCATGAGAGTCTCTGGTATTGGATTTACTTTTGTTTTTCGAGCTCAGCAGTCTTTTCCACTCCTAGTCTATGTTTTGATTGGCCAAGTTTGCTGGGATGTAGGTGTTGAATGGGAACCAGGTGTTGAATGCGCAGTTGTTGTTGCTGTTGGGTGCTCTCTAGTAGAACTGTCCTTAGGGGTTCCCAGACCATACTTCTTATGGGAGCAGGTCACCAGGTAGGTCTTTCTCCCATGAAACTATTGTGTGGGTTATGCCCAGCTCTCAGTTTTCCGCCTAGCACTTAGCCATTGCACCACCAAGGCGCCCCTTTGCACAGCAGACACTCAAAGTAGATATACTGAATGAATCACTGACATGTCCGTGGTTTCAGCAACCTATATTGGCATGCTTTATCTAATGCTTTCTTGTCATCAAATGAGATTGCAAATAGTCCCCTAAATGAAGGCCTCTTCCTTATTCTCATAGCCAATGTCACTATTATAACTTTGGTCCTTAATTCTTCCCAACCAATGGGATTTGGAATGACAAAATATCCCTCATTACCTCCTTTCTCTAGCCAAATCTCAGCTTTCGAGGAGGCTTGAATAATCTACTGAAAGCATATCTTCACTCATGTCCTAAACTTAAAAGTTCTTCAGTGATTTAGGAGGAGGAGGATGATAAGGGGAGGAGAAGGAAGAAGAGAAGGTAGCAGTAGAGGAGAAAAGGAATTCCTGCCTCTGACATCCAAGTTATTCCAAAATGTGACAATCTGCCTTGCTGGACTTCTCATCTACTACTTTGCTACATAAACATGGCCCACAGTTAAACTAAACAGTTGATGTTTCCTAGATATTCCCCTAAAAATAAACCTTAGTTGTTGCTTGTTTTTGATGTCATTTCCTCCTCTTACAATGCTATTTCAAGAATCTCTAACTGTGAAAAGTCTACCCATTCTTTGGTCCCCATTTCAGATTTCACAATTTTTTCCCCAGTGGCCCGCCAATCAGATAATAATTCACAGGTGTTTAACATTTTAGAGAATGTTTTGTTATAGATTTTTATCATTTAAATGTCATATGATTTAGAAGACATAATTACCATGGAAATTCCATAACTTAAAAGTTACATGAATGCAGGTGTTGTCATTCTCAATGCTGTGTGTTTCTACCCAGAAACCTTTAGATCCCAGAAAGCTAGGAAGACATGTCTTAATTATATCATATGAATTTCCATTCCTAACTATGAGTTCCTAAAGGCAGTATCAATGACTTCATTATCCCAAGATACCCACTATACCTATCTAAATTCTTTGTATATTATATAGATGATTAGCACTGGCTTATTGAATTGGACTAAATTCAATTGATCTCCAATTTTCTCTGTGCCTTGAGTATGTGTTGTTTGATTTTGGCTAAGTGAAATGATGCTAACATGTTTTACACAAATGAGAAATAGCAAGGACTAAGTAAATGGAAAGAAAGCGACAAGGAATAGAAGAACCAGAGGATGGAGCTAGGAAGTTGTGTTTTGTTGTCTACACGTAGGCCAATGGAAGTTCTATAAATCCCTCACTCCCTTTTCTAAGACTCATGAATCCCTCCCTCTCTCAGCCACTAGGAATCTCCATGATTTAAGACCAATCTGGACTTTCTTTTGTCTAATTCCTCTCATTGACACAATCTTTGCAGATAACGATCAATCTAAGAGAGAGAAGTGTTGGACTGGGATACGAGAACGATAGCATGGCTTCGAGTAACATGGAATGGATGGGATCAATCCCTGCCTCGCCTTAAATTGCTACTCTCTGTGATCATTTCTCCACCACGGCCCTCCATTGGTCTAGTTCAGACCTATCCACTGGTTCTTTCTTTTTTTCCCAGCCCTATTTTCTTCTGTAGGAGCCCTGGTGGTGTAGTGGTTACATGTTGGGCTGCTATCCAAATGGTTGGCAGTTTGAAACCACCAGCAGCTCTGTAGGAGAGCCTGGGCTTTCTACTCCGGTAAACAGTCGTGGTCTTGGAAACGCACAGGGACTCACCATGAGTCAGCATTGACTTGATGGCAGTGCATTTGGTTGGAGTTCTGTTATGGTCAGATCATGCATATCCCCCAGCTCTGCCTGCTCTCCAATCCTCTCTCTTACCTAACAATCATTACTAGAAAATTGCCTAATCTTACTAGTTTCGTTCTATACCCAACTTCTGACACATTTAAATGTATAGACTCATCCTTCCTCAATTTGTTTAGCTATCCAATTTATTAATTGTTCTTATCACTTCAGTTCCTCTAGTTGGTTTTTCTCAGAAGGAGGTCAGTATTTGTGAGCAGCCACATGTCCTATTTTGAAGCTCAAAAAATATGGCATCACATAGTTTAGCCTTGCTTTGTGAACATTGTTTCCTGTGTTATTACTCTATCTTTCTAAACCAACTCTCTAAGTTCCCTGTGAATGAAGACCATGTAGTTGACTTCATCTAAATGCTCTTGCATACTAGTTGACTGATTGATTAGCCATTGATGCCAAGCCATGAAAAAATACAGTTCCCTCCTAGTAGCCCTTTTCCCATTTGGATGATCAGAAACCAGAATTTACCTGTACCCAATGGCTCCATCATAGACAGAATCATTCAGATAAACGACGGAGCCTCCGGGGAGTACAAACTGCTGCCCAGCTGGAGCACTGTAAGACACCAAGCCATCTGCCAAAGGAAACACAACAGTGTCAATACCTTGGGAAAGGAGATGAGCCTGTGACTCCTGACTACCTGAGGTACAAGTTTATGCAGTACATCTACTCAGGACTCCATCCGGGTGCGCAAGGAATACTCTTAAGACCACTCCTGAGCAGAAGTCAACAGAGTGGCTCTGAAGAGTGCATTATTCCCAGTGCGGGGCACCAAGAGGGAATCGCTTCACTCTAGGGATTCCAGAGCCCATCCCTTCTGATTTGCTTGCCTTTCTTTCCCTGGGGTTGGGGGTTTTAAAGGACTCTACCAGCTCCCTCTGTCAGGGACCTACCTAGCCAGACACAGCCATAAAGCTCCACCCGCATGCACACGTTCATGGAGTGGTCAGTGACTGGGATGAAGCGAACCAATCTGGCCACAATGGGTGGTTCCAAGTCCTTTAGGATTATGTCATAGGGGTTATTGTTCCCAACCAGCACCTATGGAGACAGAAAACAGTGAGGAGATGCTGACTTTTTGTACTGACGTCACCCTCAACATCACCATTGTTTTTCAGAACACCTCTCCTTAACAAAATATTTTTCCCCAAAAAATATTAGTGTGGTCAAATATGTATAACAAGGTGATCATGCTAAGTATTTTTAAAGTGTAGAACTCTCTTTTCCTCCCCTTCATTTTTCATTAAGGAGCTGTGTTTCTACTCACCCGTGTGGCACATTTACAAGAAGATGGCAGGCCACGTCCACACGGTCAACGTATGCAATTCCTTTCTTAGTCTGAGTCTGATTAAAGGTCTGGATGTCTCTTCTTCCTACCTGTTTCCCTTCCCGGTTCCTCCACGAGATCCAGCGAGTGCCATCTCGGCTGTAAGTGATCTTGTACATGGGGGCAAACTCAATGCCATGGCCCCCTGCATGGCGCCCCTGGGTCCCCACCAGAGTGATAAAGTGCAAGGTGTGCAAGTCAATCTGCAGAAACTCCTTCAGATCATCGGGTTCCACTGGAATCTCAGGGCACCAGGCTCCATCCCCTTCTTCTGAGTCCAGCCTTCAAGGGCAAAACGTGGTGAGAAGGGAGAAGATCAGGAAACCATAGAATCATTGACCAATCCACAGCAAACCACTGCCCTGCCCTCAGGGCAAATAGCCAACTGGGAGCCTGGTCCAGATTGACTCATGAGTCCTTCCCACTAGGCAGACTGCCACCGCAGCACCCACCTGTGATCAGTTTCTTCTTCTGAGGGCACCAGGAAACCAAAGCCAACCATCACCAGGGAGTAAAGCTCTGGAGATCACATGTAGCCTTCATTCATTACCTTGAGTTTTTACATGTATTGCTCTATAATTACCATATTATTCTGCAATCACTGGCACAATTTACTTTGGAACTTCTTCTGGCTGGAGCCATTAATGTTTGCACTTCCTCATCCACCTCCCCATTCTCCCCTCCCATGCCCGCAAGCAAATCGCTACTGTCTTTGGAGCTCCACCTATGCCAGGTTCCCTACACAGATAAATGTACAAAATAATGGCAAACAACAAACCAGGACCCAGCAGCAATGACTATGTAAATTAGAGAAAGACCTGAATCTAACAGAAAGAAGAGAATATTAAAAATGTAGAATAAATTCTCATTCAGTTCAGTTCCAATCTAAGTACAGCTGCTAAACGCCACTTTACAATGCTTTGTCTGATAGGAGGGCTATTAATGTTCCTACTCTATGTGAATTGGGGATTCACCAGGGGCTTGATCCACATAGGGACCCTGCAGATGGATTTTGGGCTACCACTTTCATCCACCACTTTCTGCAAACCGGGGGTGTAGAATTGAGGCACTGGTTCTGTTCCTTCTCCTCTCTGGGTTGGATCTTATCATTCACATCCCTTGGATCACCCAGGCTGATATGTTTCTTCCGTGTAGACTTAGCTGACTCCTTTGACTTCTTGTTAGATAATCTTGTTTTGAGACAGTCTATAAGAGCCCAGATACTATTTTTCATGAGAGTAGAGCACCATCTGATTTCTTCACCACACTTTGCTTGGCGCCCAAAACTTCAGTGATCTCCTTTTGCAGGGCAAATTCAGAAGAATGAATTGTTCTATGAATGTGGTCTACGAACACATGAGAGTTCAAAATCCATCCATAGAGCTATAGTTCCTCTAAGGTCCCCTTGGAGACATCATTGTCATCTCATTGTAGTACATCTTAGATCTTCCCCATGGAGCTTACAGCCACTTTACTGAGAGTGACATTATTTTAGTCCATGACAAAGCACAGTTGAGCAAAGGATTTTATACAGGTGTAGGAGTTCTTATCAGACTGTGATACACGAAGTGTTAACCTCTGTATCTTCAAAATGTGGGTGACTGGACACGGGTTACACATGCTATGCGTGTGGAGATATGGTAAGACTTTCAGCACTATTTATCTATGAGGGCAGAGCTATGCCTGGCAGACGAACACCTGTCGCGTAAAGCCCTGCCATGATTTCAATAGAGGCCTAGAAGGAAAGTACATGATTTTACCTTCCATGTTCTCACCAAGTCATTTTACCACCACCTCTGCTCCCCCCATTCCAGCCTCGGCTTAGTAACCCTAGCCATCCCTTGCTTAAATACCATGTTGTAGAGCCACTGGGAGTAAGGATGGAAGGACAGTAAGATCTCCAGTGTGGGCTGTGCTATGCAGTGGGATTGTTACAAGCAGGATGGGTATGGAAGCCCAGCAAAAAAGCTATGGAAACCCAAAGTGACCGTGATGGGTACGAGCATGTCAGGGAAAAAGTCAATCATCAGACTTTATCTTTGTCCCCCTAGGCAGCGCTCCCACTGAGAAAAGTGGCAAAGTCAATATGGAGTTTATCTTGGAACCTCTTCTTATACCCCCCCCTTTCCTTAGAATGTGCCCTTCTCTCCCAGAAGCCACTTTCTCTCTGATCCAACTTGTCGATCTTCCCTTTACTCTGTCACGATCTAAGATATGCATTTTGGAGACTACTTAGCAAGGTTGCTTGTGATACTAAGGTTCTTCTTACTTAAAGGAAATGAATACTTTACCCCAAATTAATTGGGTTCAAAATAATAAGCCCCAGTCAGTAGAACAGTTTTAGTTGATTGCTTTTGATGCTATAGTTGATAGACTATATGTTCATAGAAATTCTAAAAGTGACCTCATTCTATTTCTGGGTAAGGATGGCTCTTCTGTACAAGAGACCCTTGAGAGAAGGGAGGCCCTTATTGCGAAGCGGAGTGACTGTTACATCCTTGATCCTTTGCACTGTAAATAATGTGTCAGAGTCACTCACCAAAGAGGACCATCGTTTCTAACTTCTAGTGGCCTCCATTACCTGCGCTGTCTCATCTCTGAAAGAGATGGTCCACCTTCTGTAGCCCCTGTGTTGGTAGTGTGGTTGGGACGGGGCTGCCAGATCAGCACCTGGATTCCCCCTCTGAGAATGCACAGAGCAGAGTGAGCCCCCTTGATGTTCATCCTCTGTTCCCACCAGCTACTGCCAAGTACCACCCCACTTTTCCAGCCTCCCGAGGCAGGGCTCAATGTCCAGCGTATCTGTCCGGCCCAAACCCCAGGATTGCCTGGAGCAGTCATTCTCACCTTCCATATTTGGCAGCTGTGGAGTCTGACCACTGACTGGAAGCTGTGATGTCCTCATCTGGAATGTGGCCTCCTGACATGCCCAGAGGGTAGCGGCAGACAGCTGGACAAAGAAACCCAAGGAACAGAGAGGGGATGCATTTAGTTTTTATTTCCAGAGTTCCTCGCGAAGAAGAGCACTGATTAGTGGATAGGGAAGAAAAAGATTTAAACCTTCCTAAGTTCCTCCATGAACCCATTTTTACCATCCACACGCTATCAGATTTTTCTTTCTGACTGTGCCTCCAAAGAATTCAGGCCTTCAAGCCCTGACCGTCAGTCAAACCTACCTTTTTGTTACCGGTACAATTTTTACAAGTCATGTAATATAATGAGATGATATACCTTTTGCATTTGATAACAAGCCCAGTGGCCTATCCTGTTCTGCAGTCAGCAGACATGCGCTTCTTCCTCTTTTAAATTGGTTCTGGAACCTTTGGGGAAGGTTCACACCCAAACAGCCGCTCCTTCGAGCTGCCCTTCTTCTTCCCTTTCTGCCGAATTCCACACAAATTGTTTAGGGACATGAGCTACATGTATCACTAATTGTCAACAATATTTTTAACTGTGTTTAGTTTGTTCCCTTGCCAATATTCTAGAATGCAAATGTTGGAAACAAAGGAAGGAACAATATTGGGAAAAGATGTCCTTGCTCATAGAAAAGAAGCTGGAGATCACATGATAGGATTTTGCGAGAGCAGTGACTTCTTCATAGCAAATACCTTTACAACCATGCACACAGTGACTGTACATATGGGCTTGTTCAGATGGAATACACAGAAATCAAATCGACTCAATCTGTGGGCAGAAACCACGGAGAAGCTCACGCTTAGTCGCTAAACTGAACCTGCTCGCTGTGGAACAAATCACCATTAGCTCATACGGAAATCCAGGCTGATATTGAAGAAAATGAAAACAAATCCACAAGAGTCAAAAATGACCTTGTGTCTATTATCCCACCAGACTTTTGAGAGCATCTCAAGAACAGGTTCGAAGCATGAACATCAGTGACAGAATACCCGGAGAGCTGCAGGAGGACATCAAGAACATCCCACATCAAGACAGAAAAAGTCGTTAAAAAGACAAGAAATAAAGACAGATCGCAGTGGATTTCAGAGGGCCTCTGAAACTTGCCTTTAACCATCAAATAGCTAAGGCACATGGAAGAAATGACCAACTTAAAGACCTGAACAGACATTTCAAAGGTCAATCAGAGAAGGCAAAGTATTATAATGAAAGTTGCAAGTCTCAGACTTAGAAAACGGAAGAACACTCAGCACATCTTCATCTGAAAGAGCTTCAGACAAAAAAAATCAAGCCTCAAGTTGCAAAACTGAAAGATTCTACCCTGTTTCCCTCAAAATTAGACGGTGTCTTATATTAATTTTGGCTCCCAAAGATGCACTGGGTCTTATTTTCAGAGAATAGCTTATTTTTCCATGAAGAAGAATATGGTACACATCTATTGTTGAACAAAAAAAAAGGAAATTTGTTACCTGTATACGGTATGGTAGCAGTTGTCATCACAAACCAGCATAACCAGACAAATTGTGAATCCTACAGTATCAAGAATTTCTTGTTACTACCATTATTTCCATGTACAACAATCTATGATACATTTACTCATAGTCTATGGTACATTTACTCACACTTCCTGTCTGCTCCACCTGTGCTGTGAGCTGCGTGGCGGCTTTAATGCTCCCCAAGCGTTTATATTCTCTGGGGACCTGCAAGCCCCCTAATTACAGGTGAAGACATACGTCACAGAAAGGGGTTGTGCTATAGGTATTACAGTAATGGGAGGGGGTGATCTAGGGGTATCCAAGCAATAGGAAGAGGAGGGATTGGGGGTGTACATGCGGCAAGATGGGCGGATCCTAGATTTCGGATGGCAGCTTGACTTGACCGGTTCTCTGGGTCTCCATAGGAACCATTATCAGTAGGGTGTAAACTCCGCCTACAGGAACCAAGCTAATGGTGGTAAGCTTCCAAGAGAGAGAGAGAGAAATAACCCATTGTCTCCAGCACAGCATTGCCTTCAGGGAGGATTAAGCATCTGGCCTCCCCCCACACTTGTCTATGCCAGGAAATTTGGAAGACAGTTACTTGACAAACTGATTGGAAGAAATCCATCTTTGCACCCATTCCAAAGAAAGGTCACCTAATAGAATGCTTAAGTCATAGAACAATATCATTAATATCACATGCAAGTAAAATATTGCAAAAAAATTTCATTCAATGGTTGCAACAGTACATGGACATGGAGTTGCCAGAAATTCAGACAGGATTCAGAAGAGAGCATGGACCAAGACGTGTCATTGCTGATGTTAAACCAGTCTTAGCTCAAAGCAGAGAATAATGACGATGCTAAGTCGTTCCACTGTGTGGCCCACAACAAACTATGAATAGCCGTGAGAAGAGTGAAAATTCCAGGAGAGTCCATGGTGCTCATGCAGAAAGTATACATGGATCAAGAGGAAGCTGTATGAATAAAAGAAGGGGATTCTTCAGGGTTTAAAATCAGGAACAGTGTGAATATGCAGATCATAATCAGAGAAACTGGGTTATATAAAGGAGAGTATGGTATCAGGATTGGGGGAAGGCGACGTGCAGATGACAGGCTCTTGCTTGACGATAGTGAGGAGGACTTGAAGCACTTGCTGATGAAAATCAAGGATTCTAGACTTTAGTATGATTACAACTCAATGTAAAGAAAACCAAATTCTTCACAAATAGGTAACATGATAAACAGATTTTAAAAATGAAGCTGTCAAGGATTTTGTCTTGCTTGGATTCACAATTAATGCTCATGGAAACAGCAGTCAAGAGATCAAATGATGCATAGCTGAAAAAGATTTCTTTAAGTGTTGAAAAGCAGGCCCATTACTTTGAGGACTAAGGGGCACCTGACCCAAGCCAGGATGTTTACCATGGCCCCACATGCATGAGAAAGTCAGGCATTGAATAGGAAAGACTGGAGAATATTCAATACACTTGAACTGTAGTGTTGGGGAAGAATATTAGAAGGACTATGGACTGC